CTGATTCCTTGACCAAATCTTTCACTAAATAATTTTTTGAGATTTAGAGGGGGATTAAAAGCATTTTTGTGTTTTGGGTTTTTTTGCCAATACTTTTTAATTTAGCTATCTCATTTGATTATTAGCTTTGGCTAAGAATGAAAGTTTGACGTTTCAAAATATTCTTAGAAAATCTGTTCTTAGGAAATTTCCAGTTCTCTTGACTTAAAGGTTAATATTCTCTAGTTTTGTTCAGCATCTCAACTTTCAGTGTTCATCCAAACAGAACCACTGACGTCTCTGAGCTTCACCTTTCACTAATACTGTGTGTTCACTTTGTCATACTGTGTGTGACTCTCCACTGCCTTAAACCTTGCATGATCACACTGGGGCAAAAACTGAGTGAAACACTCCCATTTGGATTTGCTACTATTTTATACCTGTTTGGCATAGTTACTTTCACTTGGTCAAGGTACACGGCAATGAAGAATCAGTCCCATTGTGTCTGGGTAGGTTCTGCATTATCCTGGATGAGCTAGGGATATAAAGGTATGAAATATTCAACTGAAACCCCTTTTCTCAGACTATGTGGGTGGTTGTTAAACTTCTCATGGCACATTTCAAACAGAATTGTCTGGTAGTGTCCACCCCTTGTTCTACTGAACACACTCAGATTCTCTACTCCCAAAGGAATAGTACATACTGGCTTACTAGTTTTAACCCAGGATCACTATTGCACTCAACACATAGTACTCAAATATATTTAAAGTGAAAACAAGAATAAATTTATTATCAAAGACCAGAGATTCAAATGATAGCACGTAAGAATATTGGAAATAAATGGTTACATATAAAACAAAATCATAACATCCTTTCTAGAGCTGAAGCTTAATTTACAAGATATGCCCCTGTCTACTACAGCATAGCTTACCCCAAATCCTTTTCCCACCAGTTTCCCCTAGGATGGCTGAGATTTTTTTCCCCCATAAGATAAAGCCTGGTGGCAACTTGTCTTCTCAGACCAAAGGCTACCTGGGGCGGGGGAAGTTCATCAACATCCTAGATAGACCAGACCTTTCGATCTTCGCCTGAAGACAGGGTCACCCCACACTGTTAATTTTCTTTTGGAGTCCCATTTCCCACCCCACCCCCCAGCTCTTCATTAGTATTTGACTTGGTACGGTAATAGACTTCTGTTATAAGATACACACTACACAATGGTTAAGTAAGGAGATAAGTGTCTCCCACCTCCCGTCTGGAGAAGTTTGTCTCAAGGAATGCACGCGCCCTTTAAATACAAGGCCTTAAGAACATAATTTCCAACATATCTTCTTACACGTTATTCACACAAACAACTTGCAATTATCATGATGACCAGTGTGGTGCAGGCTTTCATTAGAGACCTTAAGTGATATTCTTTGAGAGATTAGGATATAGACACCAGACCCAGGGGATTCCTGTAACACTGATTTACCCCTGTGCCCTCTGTCAGTTGGCACAATGAGGGTTACAGGTGGATTCTGTTTTAATAGCTTTGCTTCCATGAGTCAGTATTATTCAGCTGGAGTAAGGGCTGAAGGAATGGGCTATCTGAAGTGGAGCAAGACGTGGAGCAGGAAGCTGAGCCGAGATTAAACCCTTGCTCACCACAGACTGAGCAGTGCCTATGCATCCAATCACAGCTTTCTGTACAACCCGCTTCCTATCAGGGGAATGACAAAGAACCACGGAGAAGAGTAATTCAATGACTGTGTGAAGTGTGTGCCACTGTCTTCACTGGAGAATATTTTTTGAAATATTAATCAAAAGGAGTAAAAAAGGTGTTTAATGATCTGAAACTCAAAAAAGAGTCCTACAAAAAAGTGGAAACTAGGTCAAATTACAAAGTATGAATATAAACAAATAACACAAGTATGTAGGGACAAAATTAGAAAGGCCAAGGCACAAAATGAGATTAAACTAGCTAGAGACATAAAAGGTAACACGACACCATTCAACAAATACATTAGAAGCAAGAGGAAGACCAAGGACAGAGTAGGCCCATTCCTCAAGGAGGGGAGAAAAACAATAACAGAAAATGTGGAAATGGCAAAAGTGCTAAATGCAGTGGTGAGCTGGAGTTGGTTCCCACCAGTCGCTAGAACCAGTTGTTAAATTTAGAAGCCCTTTGAGAACCAGTTCTAAAAGAGTTTCTAAATTTAACCGGCCAAAATTGGCTCCTTAGGCGCTGACTCCATGGGTGCTCTAGCCCTGGAGCACCCAAGGGGAAAATTTGGTGGGTGCAGAGCACCCACCGGCAGCTCCCCTCCCTGCCCCACCCCCGGGCCCGGCCCCAGCTCACCTCTCCGCCTCCGCCTCTTCCCCTGAATGCACCGCCCCGCTCTGCTTCTCCGCCCCCCCCCACCCCAGGCTTCCCACGAATCAGCTGTTAGTGCAGGAAGCTGGGGCAGGCTAAGAAGCAGGCCACGGCTTCCCGCTCAGGCCCAGGGAGGCAGAGGTGAGCTAGGGCGGGGGATGCAAGGAGGGTCACCTATGCTGCAGCAGGTAACCTGGGGGGGAGTGCAGGGGAACCGCTCCCCGCCCCAGCTCACCTCCACCACCCTCGGCCTGAGCGGGAAGCCGCCGCCTGCTTCTCAGCCCTCCCCAGCTTCCTGCCGAACAGCTGATTCGCGGGAAGTCAGGGGGGGCGGAGAAGCAGAGCGGGGCGGTGCATTCAGGGGAGGAGGAGGAGTGGAGGTGAGCTGGGGCCAGGCGCGGGACAGGGAGCTGTCGGTGGGTGCTCTGCACCCACCAAATTTTTCCCGTGGGTGCTTCAGCCCCAGAGCACCCAGGGAGTCGGTGCCTAAGGCGCCACTTTTGATGTGATTAGTGGGGGCGCAGCCCTTCCCCCCAGCTATGCTCCTCTGCCCCTAGGAGCCAGAGGGACCTGCTGGATGCTTCCTAGGAGCTGCCCCACGTAAGCCTCTGGGACTCCCCACCTTGCCCCACGGCAGGTGCCTCTGGCTCTTAGGGATGGGGTGGGCCCCACTATGGTGGCCCACAAGACCCTCCTGCCTGGTTCTGGGGGCAGTCAGGGGACAGGAGAGGGCGGTGGATGGGGCTGGGGTGAGAGGTGTCAAGGAATGCGGGGGGGTTGGATGGGGCAGGAGTCTCGGGGGGCAGGGGTGGGCAACGACCCCCGCATGGGGTGAGGAGGGAATCCATTGTTAAGATTTTGGCAGCTCATCACTGGCTAAATGACTTTTTTGTTTGTTTTCATTTAAAAGATTAGTAGTGATTGGACATCTAACATAGTGAATGCCAGTGAAAATGAGGTAAAGAACAAGTTAAAAATTACTTAGATGTCTTCAAGTTACCAGGGCCTGATTAAATACATCCTAGAATACTCAAGGAGCTGACTGAGGAGGTATCTGAGCCATTAGCAATTTATCTTTGAAAAGTCATGGAAGACAGGAGAGTTTCCATAGGACTGGAAAAGGGCAAATATAGTGCCCATCTATAAAAAAGGGAAATAAGAACAACCTGGAGAATTACAGACCAGTCATCTTAACTTCAATATTTGGAAAGATAATAGGGCAAATAATTAAGCAATCAATTTGCAAACACCTACAAGATAAGGTGATAAGTAACAGCCTGGATTTGTCCAGAACAAATCATGTCAAACCAACCTGATAGATTTCTTTGACAGGTAACAAGCCTTCTGGATAGGGGAGCAGCAGTAGATCTGGTATATCTTGGCTTTAGTAAGGCTTTTGACACTGTCTTGCATGACCTTGAACTAGGGAAATACAAACTACTATAAGGTGGGTGCATAATTGATTGGGAAGTCATTCCCAGAGAGTAGTTATCAGTGGTTCACAGTCAAACTGGGAAGACCATATCAAGTGGGGTCCCACAGGGATCAGGTCTCAGTCCAGTTCTGTTCACTATCTTCCTCAATTATTTAGATAATAGCATAGAGAGTACACTTATAAAGTTTACAGAAGATACCAAGGGAGGAGGGGTTGCAAGTGATTTGGAGGATAGAATTAAAATTCAAAATGATCTAGACAAACTGAAGAAATGGTCTGAAGTAAATAGGATGAAATTCAATAAGGACAAATGCAAAGTACTCCACTTGGGAAGGAACAATCAGTTGCACACATAATGGGAAATGACTGGCTAGGAAGGAGTACTGTGGAAAGGGATCTGGGGGTCATAATGGATCACAAGCTAAATACGAGTCAATGGTGTAATGCTGTTGCATAAAAAAGGAAACATCATTCTAGGATGTATTAGCAGGAGAGTTTTAACCCAGACACAACAAGTAATTGTTCCGCTCTACTCTGCATTGATTAGGCCTCAACTGGAGTATTGCGTCCAGTTCTGGGCACCACATTTCAGGAAAGATGTGGACAAATTGGAGAAAAAACAAAAATTATTAAAGTTCTAGAAAACACGACCTGTGAGGGAAGATTGAAAAAATTGGGTTTGTCTGGAGAAGAGAAGACTGAGAGGGGACATGGTAACAGTTTTCAAGTACATAAAAGGTTGTTACAAGGAGGAGGGAGAAAAATTGTTCTCCTTAACCTCTAAACATAGGACAAGAAGCAATGGGCTTAAATTGAAGCAAGGGAGATTTAGATTGGACATTAAGAAAAACTTCTTAACTGTCAGGGTGGTTAAGCCATGGAATAAATTGCCTAGGGAGGTTGTGGAATCTCCAACATTGGAGATTTTTAAGAGCAGATTAGACAAACCTCTGTCTGGGATGGTCTAGATCAGTGGTTCTCAAAGCTGGTCTTCCACTTGTTCAGGGAAAGCGTCTGGCAGCCCAGACCAGTTTGTTTACCTGCTGTGTTCGCAGCTTCGGCCGATCGCGGCTCCCACTGGCCGCAGTTCGCTGCCCCAGGCCAATGGTGGCTGCGGGAAGCAGTGCGGGCCAAGGGACATGCTGGCCACCCTGAACAAGCGGCGGACCGGCTTTGAGAACTACTGGTCTAGATAATGCTAAGTCCTGCCATGAGTGCAGGGGACTGGACTAGATGACCTCTCGAGGTCTCTTCCAGTTCTATGATTAAGGAAACAAAAGATTTTATTTGGTTCTTTGTTGTGATTCTCAGTTCTTCAGCTAGATGTTTCTTTCAGCTTTCACTTTTTCTTTATTGTATTAAATGTTAATCTTTTGGCAGGCGCTCCCTCCAATTCAGAAAGCCTGGGAATGTTTAATTTGCATGGATTAAGCAAATGATTAGATTAACTGAGAGGTTTGCTTTAGGTAATTTCAAGGTTTTATAATTCTACTTTACGTGCATCCTCGGCTTTAATTATTTGCATGATGAAAGAATTTAAATATTTAAAATCAAGGACCACAGGGCACATCAAAGAGTTTCTAAATCATTATTGAACAAAGTCTAGTTTATACTGGATCTGTAATGCTACAAAAATGCCTAATTAAAATCACTTTACAATAAAGATTTTCAACACTAGATGTAAACTTTAGAAGAAATTGTATGGAAAAGGTAAGTTTAATAGCGGAATAAAGTATGTCAGTGCGATCTCCCACTGGGCTGGAGGGAATAGTAAATTAAAAGTCGTCATGGCACATGCTTTCTACTCGTTCTTTATAATGTACATTCATTAATAACTTATGTTTTATAGCTGTGATTTTTGGGAGAAGGAATAACAATATATTTCTAGCTTCAAGATGAAAGATTCAACATACTGCATCTAATCCTCCCCAACCAAATGCTTTTGATTTCTACTTTAAAAAAATGCTTTGAAAATATAAATATTTTCTGACCATCTCCTCTTCTCCTGGTTGGTTCTTCTGAAATGGTTTGGCTCTTGATCATCCATTTCAGTATCTAGGTGACTATACTATTAATGGTCTGATGTTATATTTATTGAGTTGTCCTGAACTGTCGCCTCCAGTTTATTCAATTTATATGCCACGTTAACTCTGGCTGTGCAACTAGTATAGTGTCACTTAAAACTATCTTCATTTAATGATCCTATTATCTTTGCAGCTAAATTGTTAACAATTCCTATATCATTTGCCCATTCTTAGTTAGGCTGAGGGAACGAATAACTGATTTTAAAAAAATCCTGTGTGAATAATGAATTATGGTAAGTCTCTATCTCTCTCTCTCACACACACACACACAGAGAGAGAGAGACAGATGCATGGTAATACGTGGCAGTACAGTATAATGATTTTACAGGCATAAATTTGCAGTGATCAAATTTACTAATGAGTGAGTTATGTAGGTCATTCCAGCTGAGTGTACATTAAAATCTTTTTATTCTGCAGCACACCACATATTGTGTTTATACCATATATTTTAGATAAGTTATATTAGAAAATTTGTTGAGTTTCAGTTTTTTGGGTGGATGTAAAAGTATTATTTTTCATATCCTCTTAACTGTAAAGTCAGTTTGTTTTAGTTCCCATATACAGAGGGCAGAAATGCTATTACATTTTTAAAACCTCTTAAAGTGAACTTCAGTAACTATTTTATAAATCATGAATTCATTATTTTAAGGTCTGAAAGCTTGCAACCTTCCATCAATCAAAATGTATGTTGTTTCTCACTGGTAAACCTGGAATCTTAACTTGCCAGTGAACAGAATGTATTTGTAGGCAAAGCAAGTCACACTATCAGACCATAAACTGTCACAGGTATAAACATGAATATTTCCAGTCCTTGATCTTCAACCAGAGTAACTTGCTTCTCTGTTTTCATCTGATCCATTTTTGGGGGTGGGCTGAAAGGGGGAAGGAGAAATAAATTTTGAAAGATTCTAAGTTGCTTCTTAAATATCAGAATTTGATATGTGGGAAACACAGAAGAAATAGAAGCAATTTTGACATCTTCAGCTGCAAGGCATGTTAGCATATGCAAAGTATCAATAGTGATTAGAATGTAAGTGAGTTCAAAGGTGCAGAATAACAGAAGTTTATTTCATAGTTCTACGGTTTATTCTGGTTATAGTAATAATGGAATTTAATCCATGCTTATATTGACTGTATATGTGATATAAATAAATGTGTGTGTAGTTTCAATATCCCAGTAGAGTACATTTGTATTGTTGGAGACATGGGGGGGAGGGAAATTTTCAAAAAGTACAAATGACAGTTAGGACCCAACTCAATGGGAGTTGGGCACCTAACTGCATTTGTGCCTTTTTTTTTTTAAATCTTCACCAGATTAATTTAAAAACTGAGGTTCTGATCACTTAAGATCATTAATAGCCAAAAGCACTCTTTGTAAGAGCTCTTTTCGTAAAGACACCAATTTAGATTATTATATAGTGTCCACCTATGCCTAAAATTTCCCCTGCAGTAGTATGTGTATTTACACAAAATACAGCAGCCTCGAGAGTGGAACAGAGTAGTTTATCAACATGGCACAGGAACATCACAATTTAGGACAGGAAGTATGTTTTAAGCATTTGGAATTTTAGGTAAGTGGCTTTAGAGAGAGGGGCTAACATCCTTCTCTTGCAGAAACTGTGAGAGCTCTTTAAAAGTCATATTCAATCAGGATCTGAATTTTATTTGTCAGGACTTCCACTTCACGTGAAAGTGCCTCCAACAACATGATGCCATTTTAACACCATGCCAGAGTACTCTTAGACCTGGTCTACACTATGAGTTTAGGTCAGATTTAGCAGCGTTAGATCAGTTTAGCCCTGCACCCTTCCACACTACAAAGCCATTTTTTCCAACTTTAGGGGCTCTTAAAACCGGTTTCTGTACTCCTCCCCGATGAGTGGATTAGCGTGAAATCGATCTCGCTGGGTCAAATTTGGGGTAGTGTGGATGCAATTTGATGGTATTGGCCTCCGAGAGCTATCCCAGAGTGCTCCATTGTGACCACTCTGGACAGCACTCTCAACTCAGATGCACTGGCCAGGTAGACAGGAAAAACCCTGCAAACTTTTGAATTTCATTTCCTGTTTCGCCAGTGTGGTGAGCTCATTAGCAGAGGTGACTATGCAGAGCTCTTCAGCACAGGTGACCATGGAGTCCCAGAATCTCAAAAGAGCTCCAGCATGGACCGAACGGGAGGTACTGGGTCTGATCGCTGTATGGGGAGATGAATCCATGCTATCAGAACTCTGTTCCAAAAGACGAAATGCCAAAATATTTGAAAAAATTCTCCAAGGGCATGAAGTACAGAGGCTATCACAGGGACCCGCGCAGTGCCAAGTGAAACTTAAGGAGCTTAGGCAAGCCTACCAAAAAACCAGAGAGGCAAATGCCCGCTTGGGGTCCGAGCCCAAGACATGCTGCTTCTATGATGAGCTGCATGCCATTCTAGGGGGTGCCCCACCACTGCCCCACCCCTGTACATGGACTCCTGCAAGGGGGGAGTCTCATGCAACAGAGATGAGGATTTTGGGGACGAGGAAGATGATAGCGCACACCAGACAAGCAGAGAAACCGTTCTTCCCGACAGCCAGGAATTGTTTATCATCTTGGATCCCTCCCAACCTGGGATCCTGGACCTTGAGGGTGGAGAAGGCAACTCTGGTGAGTGTACCTTTGTAAATATAATACATGGTTTATAAAAAGTAAGCATGTTTAATGATTAATTTGCTCTGAAGACTTGGGATGCATTCGCGGCCAGTACAGCTACTGGAAAAGTCTGTTAATGTGTCTGGGGATGGAGCGGAAATCCTGCAAGGACATCTCAATGAACTTCTCCTGGATGTACTCCCAAAGCCTTTGCAAAAGGTTTCTGGGGAGGGCAGCCTTATGACACTAGGACACTTTACCATGGCAGGCCAGCAGCATGTAGTCTGGAATCATTGCATAACAAAGCATGGCAGCATATGGTCCCCGTGTTTGCTGGCATTCAAGCAACATCCATTCTGTATCTCTCTGTATTATTCTCAGGAGAGCGATATCATTCATAGTCACCGGTTGAAATAGGGGAATTTTATTAAGGGGACATTCAGAGGTGGCCGTTCCTGCTGGACTGTTTGCCTGTGGCTGAACAGAAATCATCCCTGCTCTTACCCACACAGTGGAGGGAGGGGTGAAGCGATCATCCCAGAGAATTGGGTGTGTGTGTGTGTGTCGGAAGTGGGGGGGGTTAGTTGGGTTTGTGCTGCATGTTAACCTGAAAACCGCAACCCCCCCTTTTAAATGGCTGTGACAGGCATCGGTCAGTCCTCCGAGCCCTAAGGGCGATGGAGAGCAATGGTCTCCATGGCAGGCTTCGGCCCCACCTCCCGGGTGTTGGGGAATTAGCGGGAATTAGAGCCGGCCGGAGTCAGTAGCGCGCCCCTCAGGCAGGGGAGCGCCGGCAAGAGTCAGTAGCGCGCCCCTCAGGCAGGGGAGCGCCGGCAAGAGTCAGTAGCGCGCCCCTCAGGCAGGGGAGCGCCGGCAAGAGTCAGTAGCGCGCCCCTCAGGCAGGGGAGCGCCGGCAAGAGTCAGTAGCGCGCCCCTCAGGCAGGGGAGCGCTGGGGTAGGGGAATCAGGCCCACTCAACTCCACTGCATTCCAGCCCAGGGCCCTGACAGTGGCGGGAGGCGAAGGTCCTGCTACTGGGTCAGCAGGGCAGTCCGCGCCCGCTGACCAAACACACCCACCCCACAGTGTAGTTGGGCCCCTGGGCTACTTCCTACCCGGTCTATCTCAGGCAGGTCACTCACTGGGCAGAGGGCCCCGCCCTTTCTACTTCCTGTCCCACCCTTCCCCTTCCGGGGATTGGCGGAAGCTTGGCCTGGCCCCGCCCACTCAGGCTCAGAGGGTGGCTCTTTACCCTCTGGTTTGGAGGGGAGCCACCCTGGCCCCCTACAATGGCCAACCCATTTTAAAGGGCCAACCCAACGGGTGCTTGGTATGTGAAATGAGGGTGCTGCTGTTTGAAACCATTCCCACATGTTAGGAAGGTTAAAGAAGCCAAAAGACTGTGGCTTACCAGGTCTGCCTGCAAGCCGAATTCTGTTGCGTGCCAGCCCTGCATGTGTGATCTCTCACACCATACCGGCAGGCCCTCGATATAAAAGGCAAAATGCGACCTTCTAAACAAACCACACGTGCTAATGTAATGTTAACAGCTTGGTTCACCGTGATGGAGTCTACCCATTGTCCTCCAAAATGTCTCTTTTTAAAGATGAATCTCCCTTTTTTTCCCTCCTGCAGCTGCAAATGTTTCAACGCTCCCCCTATCATCTCCGTCCCAGAGGCTATCAAAGATTAGAAGCTGAAAAAAACACACTTGCGATGAAATGTTCTCTGAGCTCATGCAGGCCTCCAGTGCTGAAAGAGCCCAGCACAATGCATTGTCTCCCTCAATGTCAGAGTCCAGGAAAGCACAAAATGAATGCGAGGACAGGAGGGATGAGCGAGAGGAGAGGTGGCATCAGCGTGATGAGAGGAAGCAGGATGCAATGCTGAGGCTACTGGAGGATCAAACTGATATGCTCCGGCGTATGGTTGAGGTACAGGAAAGGCAGCAGGAGCACAGACCGCTGCTGCAGCCCCTGTGTAACCAACCGCCCTCCTCCCCAAGTTCCATAGCCTCCTCAACCAGACATCCAAGAACACGGTGGGGGGGCCTCCAGACACCCAAGCACTCCACTCCAGAGGACTGCCCAAGCAACAGAAAGCTGGCATTCAATAAGTTTTGAAGTGCAGTGTGGCCTTGTCCTTCCATCCTCCCGTCCTCCCCTACCCCACCCAGTGCTTCCCTCCTCCCCCACTCCTCCCGGGCTACCTTGGCAGTTATCCCCCCATTTGTGTGATGAATTAATAAAGAATGCATGAATTTGAAACAACAATGACTTTATTGCCTCTGCAAGCGATGATCAAAGGGGGAAGGGGAGGGGCAGTTGGCTTTCAGGGAAGTAGAGTGAACCAAGGGGGTGGGTTTTCATCAAGAAACAAACAGAACTTTCACACTGTAGCCTGGCCAGTCATGAAACTGGTTTTCAAAGCTTCTCTGATGTGCAGCGCGCCCTGCTGTGCTCTTCTAACTGCCCTGGTGTCTGGCTGCATGTAATCAGCAGCCAGGCAATTTGCCTCAACTTCCCACCCTGCCATAAACGTCTCCCTCTTACTCTCACAGAGATTGTGGAGCACACAGCAAGCAGTAATAACAATGGGAATATTGTTTTTGCTGAGGTCTAACTGACTCAGTAAACTGCGCCAGCGCGCTTTTAAACATCCACATTTACACATTCTGCACTTGCACATTCTACCACCATTCTGCACTTGCTCAGCCTGTAGTTGAACAGCTCCTGACTACTGTCCAGGCTGCCTGTGTACGGCTTCATGAGCCATGGCATTAAGGGGTAGTCTGGGTCCCCAAGGATAACTATAGGCATTTCAACATCCCCAACGGTTATTTTCTGGTCTGGAAAGTAAGTCCCTTGCTGCAGCCATTTGCACAGACCAGAGTTCCTAAAGATGCGCGCATCATGTACCTTTCCCAGCCATCCCACATTGATGTTGGTGAAATGTCCCTTGTGATCCACCAGTGCTTGCAGCACCATTGAAAAGTACCCCTTTTGGTTTATGTACTGGCTGCCTTGGTGGTCCGGCCCCAAGATAGGGATATGGGTTCCGTCTATCGCCCCACCACAGTTAGGGAATCCCATTGCAGCAAAGCCATCCACTATGACCTGCACATTTTCCAGAGTCACTACCCTTGATAGTAGCAGGTCAGCGATCATGTTGGCTACTTGCATCACAGCAGCCCCCACAGTAGATTTGCCCACTCCAAATTGATTCCCGACTGACCAGTAGCTGTCCGGCATTGCAAGCTTCCAGGGCTATCGCTTGTGAATTGTTAGGGCTGTTCTCATCTTGGTATTCTGGAGCTTCAGGGCAGGGGAAAGCAAGTCACACAGTTCCATGAAAGTGCCCTTACGCAAACGAGAGTTTCGCAACCATTGGGAATCATCCCAGACCAGCAACACTATGCGGTCCCACCAATCTGTGCTTGTTTCCCGGGCCCAGAATTGGCATTCCATGGCATGAGCCTGCCCCATTGCCACCAGGATGGCTAAACTGCCGAGGCCCGTACTTTGAGACATGTCTGTGTCCATGTCTTCATCACTCTCCTCACCACGCTGCTGTCACCTACTCACCTGGTTTTGCAGGTTCTGGGTCTGCACATATGATAATGCGTGTGGTGTTTAGAGTGGTTACAGCTGTTGTGGTGATCTGAGTGGGCTCCATGCTTGCCGTGGTATGGCATGAGCAGGAAAGCAGAGGGGCAGCAGAAGTAGTGGGTGGATGAAAATGTTGAATGCAATGTGGCGCCAGCACAGAAAAAGGTGCGAAACGATTGTCGGCCGTTGCTTTCACGGAGGGAGGGAGGGGTAGGCTGGCAGCAGATGGTGCTGCTGGCTGGCTGAGCAGCCTGAGGCAGAATAGCCCCCTCAAGGATTGAACTCACAACCCTGGCTTTAGCAGGCCAATGCTCAAACCACTGAGCTATCTCTCTGCCAATATTCCAGGCAGGATTGAATCTCCATTAGACAAAACTTAAAGAAGAGAATGACCTGAGTCACTCCGATTTATGTGCAGGCGCCCCTTACAGACTTTACCAAGGTCCACCAGGAGCACCCATGTGCGCCCAGGTGCCCCCGACATACCTTACCAAGATCTGCCAGGAACACCCATGTCTGCCCAACCGACTTGACCAAGGCCGGCCAAGAGCACGCAGGAGACGATGAGGACGGCTACTAGTCGTACTGCACTATCTGCTGCCAGAAGGCAATGAGCTGCTGCTGTGTAGCAATGCAGTCCCACATCTGCCAGCACCCAGGAGACATACAGTGACGGTGAGATGAGTGGGCTCCATGCTTGCTGTGGTATGGCATCTGCACAGGTAATCCATGAAAAAAGGTGCGAAACGATTGTCTGCCATTCCTTTCATGGAGGGAGGGAGGGAACAGGGGCCTGATGACTTATACCCAGAACCACCCACGACAATGTTTTTTGCCCCATCAGGCATTAGGTTCTCAACCCAGAATTCCAGTGGGCGGTGGAGACTGCGGGAACTGTAGGATAGCTACCCACAGTGCAACGCTGTGGAAGTCAACGCTAGCCTCTGTACTGTGGATGAACTCTGCCGACCCACTGTCATGTAGGATGTGCCCTGAAAGCCTGCTTTTACAAGGCTATGGACCAGTAAATCTTAATTATTGGCCAAATTCTATTTCAGCATATCTTAATTATTGGTGAAATTCACCTAGTTGAGGGTTCTCAGCACCTAACATTATCAGGCTCTATGTTCTTGTTTCTGCCTTCTAGTAAAAACATGGTAGTCTTTTTGAAGCCAGATTGATTCTGCATACTACAGGGGCAAAATTTTAATTCTGACTCTGTAAATAGACTATTTTCCACTTTTCATGTAATTATGACAGACTCTTAATACATCTGTTCATTGAAACTGCCTTAGCTATGAACTCAGTATGGTTTTAAAAAACAGTACAGTGTGTGAGAGGCTGAAGTCCAGGAAACATTGTGAATCAAAGCTTGGGCCAAGATTTTCAAAAGTGTCAACTCATTCGGAGTGGCTCATTTTTGGGTGCCCTACTGGAGATATCTACATGGAACCTCAAAATCAGGACCCTTTCAGTTGTCTCAAATTGGATACCCAAAAATAGAGGCACCCCCACATCTCTAGTCTTTTAAAAATCTTGGCATTGGTCTTTTTTCACCCAAAGAACTCAGATTTGGAGTGGGTTCTTTTCTTTGCTTTGAGGGTTGTTTGTTTTGTTTTGTTGCTCTGTCTTTCTTTGAGGTGGGGGAAGATTGGACCTATAAACCTTGTGGCCTTGTACCTTGCATCTGGCCTAGCTCTAGTCAGTGCCGACCATGTGGTCAGGGCACAGAAGGCTTTACTTTACAGACCTCTATTCTCAGTTCCTGTCCCTAGCACCCAGTGAATATTAGAGTAGCCTGACTTCTGCTCTAACTTGTGTCTGTCTGCAGCAGTCTCCAAGAGGCCATCCCAGAGGCTGAAGATCACTGGCGCACAGCACTGCTCCAGGCACATCCTCTGACACACTCCCTTTACCACCCAGAGATTCCTCTGTGCTGGACTGGAATAAAGCACCTACAATCAGAGCTAGAATTTGGCCATGTATACTTCCCACTGGATTAACATTAATATTTAAATAACTGCTGTCTCATTGACAAAGATTAAGGGGGCTTAAGTACATGCTTAGGAGCTTTGTTAAATAGGGACCTATGTTGAGAATGAGTGCACCTACAAAATTTCAACATCACCCAGAGTCGCCTTTTCAGGAAGTCCTATGTTAGCAAAAAAATTACTTTTAGAAGGCGCTGAAAGATCAGAATAGGCATAAAAATATTTTGCATTGGAAATGTAAGGGCCTAATTTTCTCTTGGTTTGGCTTCTCTGAAACAAATCTGCAGGGAGAAGTTAGTGCTAAACATAGGCTAGTACGTCTAGCGTTCAGATCTTGTAAATGTTAAAGTTACTTTTTACATTTTCCATGGCGATTTATCTGAAATGGCATGATCCTGACAGTCTAGCTGTAAAAGAGTCATTCACTTTACTTTCAGCTAATTAGAAAGCAGTGTATTTAAGGGTAGAAAAGAGTAGCAGTTCATTAAGACCTCTATAAAATAAAAACCTAATTTCTTTTAACATCCACTTTTGTGTGCTATAGAGTTTGAGTTAATGGTGCACTGATTGAGCAGACTATGCAGTAATACTTTCAGTGCTGCTTGGGTGGGTGTGGCAGCAGGCAGGAATCAATATTGCCTTCCGCTTCTACAGAATTATGACTTTTTAAAGAAATTCTATTACAGTTGGGACATTTTTTAACATAGTGCTGGGACACTGTCCATTTTAATGTTTATGACACAGCTCTTTGTAGATAGAATGGAATGACAACAGCAATAGCAGACTATTAAAATGCATAACAAGGTTTCTTGTAGATGCAGTGCTGCAAGAGTTAACTGATGCAAAAATATCAACAGTAAGGTTTATATTAGGACATTTTACATCACTTTCACTTTTACTTTTTGATGTACTAGGGTGGGTTGTTGGGGTTTTTTTTCATTTCTCTCCTCCAACAGATAAGAGTTCTTAGGAGCTGTGCTTCCTACAGAAACCCATTTCTAATCCTATTTATTTTTCTCCTTTTATTTACATTTTTAGATCTTCATTTCACCTATAAAAATCTTATTTGCTGCTCCTGACCTGATTTGGGATGTTTTGTTTTTTCTACGTCAAGATTCGTGTTTGTGTGGGTTTTTTCTCCTTTCAGTTTGATGGTGACAGTTAATTTTTAAGTTGATGCTTGAAGGCACCAACACCTCTGTGTTAGTGTCTGACAGCTTTTGTTGTGGATATTGTGAAATGCAAGGTAGTAGTCTAATAGAAAGCTTGTCAGGTCCCTGTACGTAATCTGAACACTCCCCAATCTGAACACTCATCTATGTAAGATAAAATCCTACTCACCTAATATATATTTAGGTAAACACCAAAGATGTACAGCTCTGTACAAGACACAAAAACATCTCTGGCTCAAAGTCTTTCAGACAAAGACAGATGTATGTAAAACAAGATGCACTAGAAAGCCTATGGCTTTTTGGTAAGTTAGCAAATGTGTTTCCTTCCCCTCTAATACAATATTGAGGTGAAGAGACTATTTAACCAATGCGGATTAGTGTTTGTGACTTCACGCATTAGTCTTTAGAAGTGGTTTGAACTGGAGAGAAGAGTAGAGGCTTCTGTGGCACTGTGATTGCCTTGG